TAATAATATTTCTTTATTTATTTCATTCAAAAAAAATGATGACTTATAGCATTAAAGCGGCAAAAAAAATTACATCATTTGATACAAAATTAAGTCCAATAGTCAAGCAGACATCAAAATTACAAAAAAATTTATTATTAATCAACCTGATATTATTATTTTTAATTTTATTAATTATATCAATAACGAATAATAATAACAATATAATAATGATAAATTATTTATCATTTATTCTGTTGATGAATTTAAATTTTATAATTTCTGGCATATTTATTATTTTTGTTTTGGCAACTGAAAGAGGAATTAGTCAGAAAATTGGAGATTCATTAGTATTTAGATTTACTAATAAGCCAGATTTACTAAAAGCATTCAAGGTAATTTACTATTTTGGAAGTTGAATTGTGGTGAGGAACGAAAACAAGATTGTGAAAAAAGAAAAAAAAAATAAGTTTATGAGAAAGGGAAAACTAACATTTTTTCTAATTATCATCCTGATTATTTTTTTATTAGGTTTTCATAATTACGATGATTTTAACAATATCATTTACATATTTTACAATTTCAAATGTAATATCAAATACATCATCATCATCATCATCATCATCACCAATATCAGCATCAACATTAATAATTAATTCCACTTATTCATCATCTTCACAATCTGCATCTGCATCAGCATCAACATTTTCTTCAATATTAATAACTAAAAAGGTAAATTATTAATTTTTATTTTTTATTTTTTTAGAATATCATAATCATCAAATAATTAATTTGCTTTCTCTCCTTTTTTCGCGTTATCTCTCTCCTCCATCTTCATCTCCATAATAGATTCTAGAAAACTCATCAAATGTATTATCAATTTTCTCAATATTACTATTGCTATGTAACAAATCTCTGTCAAGATTAATATTTTATCCATCACCACTTCTACTAACATGCCGACCTTCACCGGAATCATTATATCCAACACCTGAACAAATAGCAGAGGATGAAAAGGTTAATTGGAAAGCTTACACCACTCGTACCGCAATTGTTAGACCAGCGAAGTCATTATTTCATTATAAAATGAATGTTGATAGAATTTCAATGGAAATTTCCAAATCTCTGAACAATATGAATATGAACAGGGACGTGGTGAATATGGCGAATAATAATAATGATGATAATAGTACAAACATTATAAATGTAGATGATAATAACAATAACAACAACAACAACAACAACAACAACAACAACAACAACAACAACAACAACAACAACAATGTTAGCAACAACAACAACGATAGTAATAATAATGATAGCAATGATAGTAATGATAATAATAGTAATAATAATAAAAGTGATGAATTCAAATTTGATAATATTGATCTTTAAACTTATTATTATTTATTTTATTAATTTTATTTTAGAAGAAAAACATCAGAGAAAGAAATTATAAATTATTATTTATATTATTCAAGAAACATTATGTTAATAGTAATGATAATAATAATTCTTGA